TGTCCAGTTAGGACCACTCAAAGATCTGATCTTTTTCTTTTTCCTTTTTTTTTTTAATGTTCCAGTCGGTGTTTGGAGGTTGTTTGTTGTTTGGGGAATCAAGCCATTTGTTGGTACTTGGATATGATATGAAATAAGTAGAACGCTTTCTAAAATCCCTCAGGTTAAAGGATTAAATCAGCCTTAAAGGAGACCTAACCATGTGGCAATAAGGAAAAGTAAGACACCCACAAGAGAGTAAGAAAGGTGCTTGTCAAGGATGATTTTTGTGCCTGGCACTGTGCTCCATGGACTTGATGGTGCTCTCAGATAAAAAGCCTGAGCATGGGGTAGCTGTCCCACAGAGTTGCTGAAAGGGTCCACTTTTGTGATCTGATGGCTCATCATCTCAAGTAAGAAACCAGATAATCTGTCTGGCTCCTCATCACCCCAGTTCTCCACATCTTCTTGGTTGCAGAGCACCTAGGACAGCACCTCTTTATGTCTCTGTAGGTGTAGGTCAGGGGTGGGGAACCTTTTTTCTGCCAAGGGCAATTTGAATATTTATAACATCATTCTCGAGCCATACCAAATTATCAACTTAAAAAATAAGGCTGCTATATATGGCCAAACATTTAATTAACTCACCCCTTATGCCTTGGCAGGGCCAGATCAAATTATTTCATGGGACTTATACAGCCCACGGGCTGGATGTTCCTCATCCCTGGTGTAAGTAATTCCCAGTTGAAGATGTTAACATCAGTTGCCTTGCGTGTTTCCTGGCCCTTCCATTTTCCTTCCAATAATTGAATTGTTATCAATAAGTTTATTTTTTCTCTAGCTTTCCAACCACCTTCTACTTCTATGTGTTCCAATCCTAAAACTGCCCCACACTTGATGATACTTGGGGCAGATAAGTATTTCTGGGGCACGCCATGCTCATCAAGAGAACCAGAGGCTGATTATTGCTAAGATCTTAGAATGAAAGTCTGCTGGTCTGTGAGTTTATAAGTTTGTGCCCTCTGAACATTGACGCTTCCATGGGGGCAGATGTAGGATTCAAATCGACACCTCGCGTGCTTTGTCTCACCATTCCATTTCCTGTATATTCTCTTTATACCAGATGAGTCTGCACACTGACCCTTTGATTCAAAATTTTAATTTTTGATTAGGGTGCTGCTTTATACATCAATACTTCCTTCCCCCCGGGATTGCTAAAGAATATGCCATCTGGGAAGGCACTGGGACGTGAGGCAAAAGTTCTCCTCCTCACTGCCAGCTGCTTGGGGACCAGCAAGTGGCTCCTAAGTCCTGGGGCATCTGGACCACAAAAAGGCAGTTCAGTGCATCCTGGGAATATCCAGGCGAAAGAATGAGCTTTACCTCAAATAGCTTCTCCCTGATTCTCCTGCTGGGCCTGCAGGCTCCTTGTTCTCTCAACCGACATTGTGCCCATTTTAGAACTGAAAGGGGAAAAAAAGGTTTCAATCTTTTCCTTTTTCTTTGTATAATACTTACTGAGTAGTTCGGTGCAAGTGGGCATTCAGCGATCATTTCCTTCTAGTACTTGCATTATTTTCTCTCAGTGATGGAAGTTTCTAGGCAGTCATTTCTGCCTAGTTGCCTGTGCAGCCTCAAAGAGTTGGGACTTAAGCATAAGCCTAAGTTTTTAAAAAATAAAGAAGGGAAGGGAAGGGGGAAAAAAAGAAAGAAACAGGCAAGCTGAATACATGGACAGATGGGATGATAGTTTTACTACACTGGAATCTCAAAATTGTTAAAATTGCTGCCCAGGTCAATTTCATTTTCGCAACTCTGTGCAGAAATCTGGATAATGTAATTTTAAAAATTAAGCAAATAATCCTTCTATGTTAGTTAAAACCTAACCTTTATAGAAACATCTACTGGCCCTTGAGGTGAGTGTCCAACAACAGTGTGAGCTCTAATGACTTTTCAGGTAGTTTGATGGATTCTGTGATCTGCCTGTGCATCACATAATAAAGGGGAATGAACTTATATGTGGAGATACGTCGCAGTAAATTTTTAAAACCAAATTATCCCTGGGCCGAAAGGATTTCCTGTGACCACAACTGATTTTCCTAAAATCTGTATTAATACTTTCACACCAAAATGGGTAAACCTTTTGATTGTTAGTGCTCAGTTGTAGCTGGAGGCTAGTCTCATACAAGCTAAATGTATAGTAATAGCAACAGCATACATTCACTGAATGCTCATTATGGGCCATGTAGTGGGTTAAGCATTTTAAATGGATTTGATCCTCAAAACCCTGAGAGGTAGAACTGTTCTCACTCCCATTTTACAAATGAGAAAACTAAGTTCATAGAGAGATAAAATAACTGGTCCAACTTGCAAAACGTGGTATTAGGGTGTGACTTCAGGAGGCCTGATTCTGTGAGACAACAGTTAGGTACATGCTCTACTCAGAGGCCCTGTTTAATCACTTTTATTCTTGCTGTTTCTCTCTTATTTGATATTTTCTACATTCATTGAGCATCTTAGACAACAGTTAGGTACATGCTCTACTCAGAGGCCCTGTGTAATCACTTTTATTCTTGCTGTTTCTTTCTTATTTGATATTTCCACATTCAGTGAGCATCTTCCAGAATTTAAGTTTTAGAGGAATAAATTCTCTTTTGAAATGATGATCAGTGAGAATTAATTTTGCTTCTGACTGCATCTAACTTATTCTGAGAGAAGGAGATGATGGCTCAATGTGAAAGAAAATGCCAAGTAGATAGCAGGAAAATGAGCCTAGGAGTCAGAACAGCTCAGACAGTAAAATGTAGTCTCTTGCATATTAATTCCACTCACATAGGAAAGAAAGAGGCAATGTAAAGAAACCACTTTCTGATATGGATCTCCATCCATGATGGCATGGTTTGGTTGCCGCGACCAAGCAAGGGGGGAAAAAAAGCAATGTGAGAGAGTAGACTCAAGCTAAGCTGCCTAGATTCAAATACTGGCTCTACTACTTCCTGCCATATGATCTGGGGCAAGTTCCTTGCTGCCTCTGTGACTCTATTTTGTAAAAGAGAAATAATAGGACCTACCTTATAGGGTTGTCACGGGGATTAAATGAGTTCATGCCAATAAAGCATTTAGAGCACCTCTTGGCACACAGTAAGGACCCTACGGGTGTTTGCTGTATCTTCACCATCATGATCATCCTCATCATGAGGCCCTCGAACATTGTGTGGCAAAGATAGCGACAGTGGTTTTATATTTAGATATTCTCAGGGCTTTTATATAGAAAGAGGAAATAATATATTCGATTTATTTTAGACTTTGCTAAGTAAAGCAGTTCTTAGATCACCTAGATTTCTTTTGGTTTCAGAGTCTGAGTGGTAATTTATAAGTTTATTCAACTAATGTGTTGCCATGACTCAGTCTGAAGGAGGAATTTTGCTCCCAGCAAAAAAAGAGGATTTAGCATCTTAATTGAACAATTATAAAATAGAAACAGCCTGACCACTATCCTGAAAATGTGAAGATGGGAGTGGCAAAAAAAGGGTGGGGGAGATAATTCTGCCTTCAAGGTCCAAGGGATCAGGGAAACCGGGATTTGGACTTTGACATAGCAAATTTATGGTGGGGTGATATTGGTAAATCATAGCTCACGAAGCACAGTTCTGATAGATTCCCACACATGTAAGTCTTCCCCCTGCTTCCTGCAAGTCATTGGAATGGATTCTCTCTGACACCCTCTGAGGGCATCCATGGGGATGAGACAGGCTTTCTTCCTTCGAGGCAATTTGGTCCAACTCTGCCCACTCACAGGTGAGGAAGCCTGGCGAAATTCCAGAGGTGATTAGTATTGAACCCATTATTTCACAGGGTTCAGTGTGTTTGGGTGGAAGTGTGAGAAGCCTATAATTTCATAGCTGCTAGTAGAACATTTCTGTTAAACCTCTTTTTCTTCTAGAATTCTGAAAGGATCTCACATTCAAGATGATTTGAGGGCATTGCACCCACAGTTGTTACTCAGTCTTAATGGTGCAGGTGGGAAGAATATAAATATTTCCTTCAAAATATTGATGATCATTTTGACCTATTTTTTTGTGAGATCGAAATCCTCTTCTCAATTATTGAAACTTTGAGGATTTTTCTCCCATAAATATAAAATTAGAGTCATAAGCTTAACTTAGACCAGTTAGGAAAAAGTATTACATTTTAAAATTGTGCCACCAGTGTTCTGTTGAGAAGAAATATGACATGGTTAAACCAAATTCTGAGTTATCAACTATTTCAATGCCCATATTCACCCTTGCCTATAAAGTGGAAGCATTCTTCTTATATTTATAAGTCCTTTGAATTACATTCCAAATGACTACCATGCAAATAAATTAGAACCGCAATCATGTCATGCTTTTTCTTTGTCATCATGGGTCATTGTCATCAAATGGTTAGTAATTTCATTGTGCTTGCGTGATTAGGGGGAGACGTAGCACCGAGCATCCATGGGTCAGCTATGTGGACTCTAGCTGCCAAAGGCGCTTCTCCATCTGAACAGAGCGCTTTGCTCAGCCAGTGTAGACATGGCCTGATAAACAATGGAACTTCTCCCCTGAGAGCTGAAGTTCGGATTGATCTAAGTCTTTAACTCAAAAAAATGTGCACAGGTTTGATGAGCAGTTCAAATGCCTTCCTTTTAGCAAAACGGGAGCTTAAATTGGCAGTAATATGAAGAACAGCATCATTTGTGATGAACTTGAAAGGCAGTAGCACTCACAGTTGCACAAGCTAATCAAGGGTCTATCAAATCAAAGTTTTACCATAAGCTTAAACATCTGTGACAGGGAGGTTGTTCTTGCCGGCTTACATCTGTCAGGTCTTAACACTACACCTGTCAGAGTGCCACATGGCTCTGTCACTTTTAACCAAGATGTCACAGATATTGTGGGAAGCAACCTGCTTTGTGTTTTCTTCTCTAGGACTTTACTAGGAAAAGCTAACGTGAAAGGAATTTTTTTTAACACTGCATTTTTATTTTGCAGATTCTCAGGCTGATGGAGTGGTGACGGAGTGGATTGACAACTGTAGTTTCTCCACTCAGTGCAGAATGGCTGCAGGGAACAAATGCAGACATGCCCAGAGAAGTCTGCCCAGGGTGAAACAGATATCTTTGAGGTTTAAATCAGGTGTGTGAAAAATGCTGGAAACGTGACTTTTGGGGTGGTTTTTCAAAGTTTTCTTTTGCATTTATATTTGTCAAGGAAAGTGGAAAGGTTGGTGGCTTTTGCCTGTCCTCCCAACTCCTTTAATGCTATAAAATACCCCCGAAAGGCTAACCTAACCTCTCTCCTAGGATTTGCTTTACTCTACTTTACTGCCCGGACGGCCCTCTATTTCATCAAAACTTTAGACTTTAAATACACGATTGTATTTTTTTCATAGCCAAAAAGAGGTTTGTTTTGGAGATATTTTAATATTGGAAATTGAAGTTTGATAGGCTTTATTTACAACTTGTCAATTTCCTTAGAAACATAAATACTATTGGTAATATATGAGTTAGCTACAAAGTACTGAAGAAAACATCATTCAAGTTATCTTTAAAAATATATGTTCACATTATCTTTAAAAGGTTGTTAAATGGCGCAGAAAAAGCAAGCAAAGTTATCTTTTTTTTTCAGAAAATGTAAACCACATTTTCTTACAGGATGAAGTTTTACCTAAAAGCCTCTGTTTAATTTATTCAGAAACTACACAATTTTTGTTGCTATATTTTGTTAGAAAGGAAGGAGAGGCTGTTTCTACAGGTGTCATAGAAAAATCAATGCTGAGCCACGGATTACTGGGTCCCATAGAACCATGGACACATGGCAGTGAAATTCTTCTCAAGGTGAGTGGGGGCATTGATTTTCCTTCTCATGCCTGAAGAAATATGACACAAGGAATGGAGGCTAAACTTAGACTTAGAGACAAGTCTGATTTGAAACTATGCCTTCAAAAAATTAGTGACAATTTTTTTTCAAGAAAACAAATGAGGAAATTGAATGAACATTTGAACATATATATGTTTCTCATACGTTTCTTTTAGATTTACTTCTTTTCTTTATTCATTTGTGTGCTTCTGAAGGGAAAAAAATGAACTATTTGACCAACATTTTAACTATAATTCAGAGCCAGTAATTTCTTTGTGGAGTAATTGTGTTACACACTATAAAACAGTCTCTCTTTTAAAACAACCAAGAATGCAATAGTTCTTCAGCTTCTAGGAAAAAGCATATTACTTACACATTCATACTTAAAAATGAGTCCACCTCTCATCTTCCTTATTGAAACAGTGTGTTTTTCCAGCTAATTTGTGCCCAAATGTTTAGACACATACTTGTTTATTTGTTACTTATTTTACAGTTTCTTCTAGATTTTGCAAAGTTGAAAAGCTATACCTAACGCATTGGTTATTTTGCCGCATTGCTTAGCATTCTATCCACGCAGGCAGGCGGTGTTCCTAGGTCTGGAAGGATAAATCCCAGGGGAAGTGAGCTGCAGAACATTTTATGCATCACTCATTCTATTATGAGCCCTCTGCTGCTCCATCTCTACAAGGTAAGAGATTTATTGTGCGTTGGCTTCTGGAAGTAGGAAATGACGTATGTTAATGGCTCTCACTTCAAAGTGTATGTGTTTGGAACTCATAATGGGGATTATAGAAATCGTTTTATAAGTAAAAGAATAACTGGAACAATTTAAGTCACTCACACACGCTCTGGCACGTTCATCTGTCCCCAGGTAGCATTTGGTTGTTCTACCCCGAGACCCACATTCTGTAGTATTGTCTCCCTCATGTTAAGTGAAGTGGTAAATTGTTCATTTTTATAATGAATTTGAGCAGAGTTATGTGATCGAGAAAGATAATTCAGGTCTCAATGTAGAAAATTACCAAATTACCAGTTTCCTATGTCTAGGGGTAGATATAATTTGAGTTTTAATATTTTGTGGGATCAAAAATTGATTCTGAGAAATTAAAATATGCTAGCAAGTTCATGGTAATATATAAAATTACCTTAATATTATTTTTTATTGCTACCCAGTGGAAAATTCTTACTCTTTTTTTTCTTATCCTAAATTTCAGACTGGCTGAACCCACGACAATAACAATTGTTTACAATTATCTAGTTAATACCCTAACTCTGATTATTTTGAACACAATGTCCTATAAGAAAGACTATTTGAATGATTTTACTGCATTAGTAATAAAACAACAAAGAAAAATGAAACATTCTGAATGTACCATCTGATGAGGTGAGATTTTGCCCTGTCCCATTAAATGAGATTACATTTGATTTTATTTGTCATTATCCCAGCCCCAAGAAAGTTTTCATTTATCAATTTGACACACGAACCTATAATATAAAGCTTCATATACATTGTCTAAACTGTGACCAATTTGAGACATTTAAAGCCAAACTAATGGATTTTCTTTATGTATTCATTACATTATTTCCATTATGTTTCAACCTTTCCAGCTTAGAAAATTATGACTCATTTAGCATGCACATATTTAAATAAAAAATAAATTATGTACATTATCATTGTTATGGGAGGGAAAGGCATACTATTCTCTAACTTTTGATAAGGTTTAACTGTTGATGTGTGAATTCTTAAATGTGAACAAACCAAAAACAATGGCATACTTTCAAGTGCTCTTCAGTTAAAATGGGAAATACAGATTTGGTGGTGGTAAGGGACAGCCTTTTGTTTACTGTTGTAAAGTATAACATCTGCATGAGAAGAAAAAAATGTATAAAAGACAATGGAGAGATAACAAAGGAATTGGACATATGGAAAGCCCCACATGTCTGTGGACACGATATAAGGATATTAAATATCCAGCACTTGTTATTTGGTACATATCCATCAAAGTGGTCAGGTGTTCTCTTTGTATTCCCAAAATATTAGTGTTTTCAACACCGTTTATCTTTATATCAAAGTCTCCCACAATATGTAAAATATGTTTTATCCATATCCGAGTAGCATGATAGTAGCTAGTCTCTCTTTGGGTTAAGCACATCACATGACGTTGCCTAAAATGTTGCCAAGTCGGATTTCTACTAGATAATTTATAGTTTGTAAAGTATCATGAATCTGCGGGGGAAAGCGACAATTAATTGAAGCATAATTATCCTCCATGTGAAAGTGGTCTGGGATGCCACATTGGGCCAGCACGATGTCTTGGATTCATTACCACTTTCTTCATTTGCTTTGTTGCCATCCTCCAGGTCCTTTCTGGGTGCATCTCTCTTTTGTTTCCCTTTGACTCTATTGTATTTCAGCTGACAGTGAAAGAACAGAAACCGAGCAATAAGACTGCACGGCTACGTTTTCCAGAGCCACCAGCTGGGAGTTAAGTTGACTAAGGTTGTGAAAGCCCAGCCCATTTGGATCACAGCAGGCATGGCAGGTAAAAGCATTTCTCTATTAAAGTATACATACTTTGTTTCTTCAGGTTCTTGGTCTAATTTTCTCTTGTTTGCCAGTTTTGGGGGGGCGGGGAGAAATGAAAATAGGTTGAGGACCAAATGCCTCGGGTATTTAATCAAATGCCCAGCAACTCTTGATGATAGGGTGCCGAAATTTCACTTTCGAGGATTAACTATGGTGGCTTTTGTCCACCCAAATGCATGTCTCCTTCTACCCAGCATGTTGTTGGGCTACTTTCTGCCATTGCCTAAATACAATGTGGTGGAAAAATTCCAAATAGTTTTAATAATAACTCCTGAGTGAGCAGAAACTAAACATGCAGGGTGAAAATGCTCATAAAATATAGCTATTGTTGGAGTTCCTCAAACAGCCCAGTTAAATGCTACTGTTTACTTCTATTAAAACAAGACATTGAGAATTGATTTCACTGTGTTCTGTTAATTTGATTACTCTCTCATAAGTGGTAAGTATAAACCTCCTTAAATAGTTTGTGAAGCTCATTTAATCAAGCAAATATCCTAAAGCATATCACTATATTGGTCCTTGACCTTTTGACCTGTCACCCTGCCTTGTCAGATGCCTTTTTCTCATGTCCTTGCATTGAAAGCTTAGGCATCAGCCTTTCGCTGTCAGCAGCAGACTGTAGAATTGTACCCTCAGGGGCATTTCCTTGCAAGTGGTGAAATTGGGATGAATAATATCAGTTTGCATTCATATTGGATATATTTTTAGGAAGCTTAAGAGGACTATACAAGAGTCACTTAGAAGGGATAAATGTAATATACATTTAAGGTGAGAAAACTAAATTGTTGTGATGTATCAGATTAGAGTGATAACATCAAATATTCCTCAGCTAGTTCCCACATGCCCTATATTGAACTAAATTTCACGAAGTCTCTTCCTCACTGAGTTTAGAGCCTTCATATTCATCTTCCTTCTCTGGAGTATACCCTAGTTTGTTCTGTTTTATGTTCTATGACTAGTCTATGGATATATCTTACCAGGTTAGATCTAAAGTTAACAGAGGGTGCCACGGAAAACTAAAATAACTGTTTTTGAAATTTTAGCAAAAACAACAACAACATAGAAATGATTAAAAGCCCCATGGATGCCTGCACCATGACTGGACCTGGAATCTTTTCAACAGTATAAGGTCCTTTCTGTGTTAGCAGGCAGATCAATTCTGTAACCACTTTGGCCTCAAGTTCACAAAGACTTTTTTTATATTTATAAATGTCCCTTGGGGTCCATGAGGAATCTGTGATACTCATTTATTTTCTAAAGAAAGGTTCTGGATCAATAAGTTCAAAATATTTCAGAGTTGCCAAGGACTTCTTGTTTGACCAGCTCAGCACTGCCAAACACATGCCCAGATTCTCTCCGACACCCGACACCCGACATGGCTGACCCCCACCACACTTTAGTGCATTGAATGGCCTGGTAGTCTAATAGCGTGAGTTCTAACATTTGTCTAGTTGGTGCTGTCTGGTTTTCAAAATCCTTTTTCTCAGGAGAGTCATGGTTTGGGGCAAGAGGTAAAAGGACAGGAGACAAGGATAATGATATTTTTGCGATTCATTTTCTAATTTGTTAAATGAAAAATGCTGGAGAATAAAATGTCTTTCTTTTGGTTTTGGTTCAAATAATTGTCTGAAATGTGAATCACAGCATAATTGTCATGAAGAAGAGAAAAGGAAGGAATCAGTTACCCTTCAGCTGCTCTGGTTCCGAGGGACCCACTATGCTATCTGTTAATAATAAGCTAAAAGGAAGGGTGCGCCATTCCTCTCTAACATGACATAAAAAAACAGTTCCCTAAACAGATTCATTTTAAAATAGGAAGGTCAGAGGCCCATAATCCAGGAGAAGTACGTGCGTACATGTATTCATATGCACATACTTGTCCAAATGTTTCAGCTAAGTAATAAAAATGGTGAAGAGGAGAGAATAGGACCCCCTAAGGGTTTGAGGGCTGTTGGTGTTGCCTTAAGCAGGCACCAAAGCAAGTCCATTTTTAATTTGAAGCTTTGGGTTTTAGATTAGATATTCACTCATATTTTACATTCTGTTCCACTATGTATCATGATAGTTGTATTATTTTAAAAAGTTTGAGTTCCTTACCTTTGAGAAAATCTGGTGTTTGAGTCAACTGTGCTATGTTTGCCCTTTAATGACTTATTCAGAGAACATTTATTGAGCTTCTATTATGTGCCAGGCACTATTTTACCTCTTTCCCCCAATGCTATCTCATATCCCAGACACTTTTATTTAATTCTGAAAAAGCACAGAGTAGACGTATACAAGGTTATGAGACTGATGAATTGACAGTAGACAGGTGAGTTGTAAATTACCATAATAACGTGATACTGTGCACATTTTTTTTTTTTTGCCCAGGGATTTTATATGATCATTCTCAGAATTTAGCTGAAAGCCTCATAAAAGTTGTAAATTTTGATTAAACTTAAAGCAATTCCTTCAAGCTTTAAAGGTTACCTTTTCTTTGTTTTTTAGAGATACAGAAAGTTCTCACTTTCCATTTCTACTTTTGACAAGAGCTCTTTGCTTAATGTTTATAACCTTCTGTTTTCACTTTTCCCTCCTTGTTTTCCATCTTTTCTGACAATGAAATGCAGCATTTTTTTCCTTCATAGTCCAATTTCATGTACTTGGTATGTGTTAAAACCTGAGTGGATAGGGGGCTCTGGCCTCTTTGCTGCAGGGCCTAAAATAGTGTGTGTGTGTGTGTGTGTGTGTGTGTGATGATAGAAATATTGCATCTTAAATTTAGGACACAAATGTACTGGTTAACTTGGAATTGGATTGACTAGTTTGAGTTTTTACTCTACCACTTTCTAGCTGTATAAACATCAGTGTCTAAACCTGCTTCTTTAGTTATTAAATGAAGCAAGTAACATACAACTCCAGTTGGAATGCTATAAAGATTAAATGCAATAATGAGTGTAAAGCACAGTGGTTGGCTTATGGTAAAAGATCAAAAAATGTTAGAATAATCTTTAGTGTTACTATTATTTATTACGTGCCTGTGCATATACACATCTACCCCCAGACAAGATTTTTCTATAGGATGCATATTCAAAGAATGATGGCTACTGTTAGGCAAAATTGTGAAGGGACAGATCCGCCTTCAGCATTGCCAGTTTCTTTGAGAAGGTGTATTCTTTCCTTACTCTCTTCAAACGTCCAGTGCCCTGCCTCTCATCTTCCCTTTCCTGCTAAAACCTCCTTCCAAGTAAGGACCGAAATTTTATCTACACAGAGGTCTAGATGATTGAAAACATTGGGGGGATTGTCCTTGTAAAGGTCATGACCTCTTATCAAAGATCAAATACTGGGCTGATGACATGGTAGACATCTGGCAGCAGCTGGAGACATTTGTTTGTGGGGTGATCTCTCCCTTGCCTTCTGGAGCTCTCCCGAGGTGGGAATGGTTAACTAGGCCAAGGGATGCGGTTAGTTCTGCTGCCAAAGGTGCCTACTGGGGCTCCCCTGGGGGTTTGTCTGACATCCTCAAAGGCTGCCTCCCTCTCCAAGCCTGGAGCCATTTAGGAATGATTGTCAGCTTTCCCCCCTTCTTTTTTTTCCCCGTTTGTGTCTGTGGGTTTTTGGATCTAGTTATGCCTGAGACCACAAGCTGTATTCCTTTAAACCTTTTTCCCTAATACTCTTCTTTATTTTTGGATATACACCTATTATTTTTTCTACCCACATCTCATCCATATAATTCATTTTTAGTTGCCCATTGTATTTCTTTTACAAAGGCATGTATTCATGATTTAAAGTTTTCACACATCAAACCATTATGCTGAGACATTCTCCTGACATGGTCTTCTTTTTTATGTAACTCTACTTCACCTCTATTTTTTGGTGTACAGATTTGAGAGTTTGAAGGACCAGGTTCAAGTTGAAGGTATGCCTTCACCAACAATCTATGCTTGGAAAACCAATTTCTCACCCTGGGTTTGTCAATGAAGTTGGGATAACAAGGTCTGCCATGGTGTTGTAAGAATCAAATCAATGTTTTGTAAACTCAAAAGTAATTAGAAGCTTTCTGGCCTTCTTTTTGCCCATCATAACGCCCCCTCAAGTAACATTTTTAAGGGAGGGCAGTGGAGACACACATTATATTAGTAGTTTGTGAAAGAAAAGATAGGATCATCTCTGTCTGACATCGTTGCTTGTTACTGAAATAGCTACATGTGCTTCTTTTAATCATGGTCAGTTCCCTCTGCCAGTGTGACATCTTTAATGCAGGGACAATTCTCCAGAGGAGAATATTCTGAGATGAAAATATGAGGGGAAATGTCCACTAGTAGACAAGAGGCCAGCAATGATGGGCTAGATCTATAAGCAGCTTCTCAAAGGATCCTGTAGAGCTTCTGTATGATTAAGCTGAGATGCCCCATGTCACTCCAAAGTGTAGACTAGGACCTTGAGGCGTAACGTTTGCAGGGTCCTCTACACAAGTGAGAGACAATAAAAACTAGTAGTTTTTGAGTACCTATTATGTGCAAAACACTTTCAATACTAATAACTGCTAACTTTGGAGTTCCGCTAAACACCAAATAGGCACAGAGTGGCAGACTTACCCAGTTATCTAATCCTTACAACTTTTGGACACTGGGATTATGTCCATTTTATAATTGAGGAAAATGAGGGCCCCCTGACACCAAAGGCAGTGTTTTCTGGATTTTCCCCCAAATCTGGAAAAATAGACAGCATTCTGTGCATTTTACAGATGAGGCAATGGGGACACAGAAGGTTTATGTAAGTTGTCCCCATGGCTCTAAGTGGAGGAGCTGGAATCCCACCCACGTTGACCTGACCTCTTCATATTAGGCCACACTGCCAGTCTGAGTACTCTAAATCTCAAAAAGAACCTGTCCCCCTCCTAATTTACATGTTGTGTATTGATATTTTCATAAAATAGAATAAAACTGAATTACTGGGGACAATAGAATT